TGTGGAGTGGAGAGTATCTTTACGCTGAGTCCATGTGCAGAGTGGAGAGTGTCTTTTCGCTGCGTCCTGCACGGAGTGGGATCTGTCCTCACCCTGGGCTCTCTCCTTTGCCTTTCAGCTGCTGCACTTGTGGCTGTGGGAGGGCTCCTGCCCTGTGCGCTGTTGCCCATCCAGGCCTGACATGGTCAGTGTCCCTCCCGCGTTCACTTCTGTGTGGTGTCCGCCTGCGTCCCTTCCCTTTCTCGTTTGTACCCATCTGAACAGTCAGTACACCAGTTACGCCTCGTCAGGGAGAAGCGTGGAATGAAACTGGCTCCCGCAAGTGAATCCTGACCAGTGATTTCACGATGGATTCTTTTAACTAGAACAGTATACATGACACGCCATCCTGTGTTGGTCATTCATACTCTCGGCTGAGGCTTTCGCGGTGGTTCCAAATTAAATTGGGAAGTTCTAAGATGACAGCCTCCGCCCGCATTCAGCATGTCGCTGTGTTGTTGTTCCATTAACTGAAAACCATATCACACATGGAGGCAGAATGTCATCTGTCAAGGTGAAATCACCTTTTCTGTCTTATAGAACCATGGATTGACCATGATGTAACTGGGATTATCATCATCTCATTGTGGATACATGTGTCCTTGGAAAGTAAAACCACATGTAATTTTAACTGGTTTACCTAATTTTATTAAGCATTAATTATTCTGGATATGAGAAATGACATTCCTGCTTTGATACCAACGAAGTAAAAAATGTGCTCCTTTTTTGGAATCCGTCCAAATGGGAGGGTCTTAATTATTTATAAATACAAATCTAAAATATGAATTTATAGTGTAACTATAAAACTTTTGGCTAGAGGATAAGACCAGGGCACTCTATTCACAGATTTATAGGGGACTTTTCCTTAATAAGAGCTACCTCACAGTCTAGAAAATTTCTTTCTAGATTACAGAATCAAACGCAATTTATCACTAACTTAAAGAGTCTAGGGTGGCTCCTGTGGCTCAAAGGAGTAGGGCGCTCGCTGGCCCCATATGCTGGAGGTGATGGGTTCAAACCTAGTCCTGGCCATAACTGCCAAAAAAAAAAAAAGTCTAAATCTGGGTGCTATTGCACTGAGTTTTTGTTTGTACTTAAAATTTGCCAAAAAAGAAGATAAAATATATTTTTCAGAATTATGGGATTTCCTAGGGATGTTTGAAATTGTTACATATATTCTCTAGATATAAATTAATGCTTGTTGGTTAAAAATTTATGTATGTGAATGAATGTACACAGATGTGCATGGGTGAAGTGGTGGAAGGTACCCAGACACACATCATTCAGAAAACTGGTGCTCAGACTTTTAGATTTGTGTTTGGAAAAAGTTTTACAGTTAATGCAAAGGTAAATTATTTGTTCCAAATCATCTAACCTACACAGGAAATTCTTACGAGCCTGGGGCTTTCATGACAAGCCAAAAAAACCCTGAAATCTGGAAATAAAGTATAAATTAAATGGCAGTACACCGTGATTTCTTTTAATGTGCTATGAAAAACTAAGAAATGGTCACTGAATTACCTAGTCTATTTCAGTACGTAAAATAATCCTAAATTTGATATAAATTAAGAAAGATAGGAGTGGCATCTGTGACTCAAAGGAGTAGGGTGCTGGCCCCATATGTTGGAGGTGGTGGGTTCAAACCCAGCCCCAGCCAAAAACTGCAAAAAAAGAAAGAAAGATAGAAAGAAAGAAAGATAAATTATCATTGAAGCAAAGTAGACAGCATTTACATCTCAGAAAAAAAGATTGACGTCTATTCCTACATTGGACTAAATCGCAGTGACTCATAATGGAAGTTTGAACGTTTACCGGCCCATGACTTAGTATTGTTAAAGACAAGCTTTAGCGAAATTGAAACGTTTGATTTTTCAAAACAGTATCTTTTTCTACTGTGTAGTTGGCTTCAAGAAGTTTACAAAATAGGTAAACAGAGAAAAGTAGGAGGCAGAAATTTTCCTTCCCAAAGCGCACATCAGAAAAGTGAAGATAGAGCACCCTGTCCCTTTTTCAAATAATGTTAAGAATTCTTCATTGTGGAGGCAACAAACGTGTTTGTATGTGCAGATATATTTGTGTTTATATGTGTGTGTGTTTATGCAAAAGCGATTTAGCCACAAAGGCACTGCTGTGCTCATTAAAATACTGATAGTTTTCATGGAAAGGTTAATGGAAGAGCTGGAATTTTTTTAAAAAGTGTGTATTTAGTAAAACAAAACCAAGCAAAAGAGACAAACGTTAGTGGAGCTCACGTAAATTAGACAGTGATAAAGTCGCTCGGAAGTAGAACAGGGAAAGGAAAAAAGACCAAAATGTTGTTATTGCTGTGTGTTCTGAAGTTCCGTTTTATAATTTCACGTCACTGCAAGGTTTCGGTGAGGGATGTTATTTGTTTAGATTAAAGCATTGAAGAGAAAACAGCCTTAGATAATGGGAATTAAGGACGGAGAAGAATTATTTTTCTGGTGGAGTTAGTGCAAAGCTAAGAAATCTGAAGTCTTGTCATCTGATTTTGTGTGTCTAATCATACCAGCATTTTCAATTGCCATGTCAATAATTTTCCAGGCACACTCTATCATTATCATTTCTGAGCAGAAACGTTTGCAATTATAGACTAGAGATGGGTAGACGTTTGGATCTTAGAATCTTGTTGTTTTTCATTTCTGAAAACATTGCTTGTGAATATATGTGTGATTGGTTTTGACCTTGATCTATCACAATCCACATCCTTTAAAATTTCTCATCATCAACTTAACTGACTTTTAGAAATGCCCTGAGAGACCTGGTGGGAATTTGGGGTTGAAAAGCATGATTTCAGGAACTGTTGATCAACAAAAACCTTGGTTTCGGAATTCAGATACATTAAAGCTTCTGCACGGCTCTGAGCTTCTGAATTTCACTGTCATACTTCCCACCAGGAAGCCACATTCCATTACGTCTCAAGTGCATGATACGCCACTTAGAAGATGAAATTTGTGATTACATGTTGCCATTTTTAAATCCTTTTATCTCGAATTATTTTTCATCACTGTGGTTGCCTTCTTTGTTGTGACATGGATAAACATAAGTTAGTATTCCAAACGTTGCTTTGACTGAAATCTACCCAGTGCTAGAAGCTATTTCTGAAACAGTTTGAACGCAACTGAGGCGCTTAGATTTCAGCATCCTGTCCCAGAGACTGCCCACGTTTTTCACAGAGATGTCTTTTACCATTTGTCTTCGGTTTTTGCGCTTTCACAACCAGCTTGAAATGTTCATCATAATTTCGCTTCTCAAAAAAATTTATTTTTACAAACCACCAATGCCGAATTGACTCTTTAATGTAGCAATAAAGTCTGCACTTCCTAAAATAAGGTTACTATTCATCTCTGAGTATTCATTTGCGTTTGTAGTTACAGGAACTATGTATCAATAACGTAATACATAGTATTTATTGTAAATCCATCTGAAGATCTCACAGCCCCAAAACAACCATTTCTTGCATTTCTCAAAATTGAACATGTCAGATTATTGTTTCATTCATTCACTCTCATTTTCCAGTGTTTCTGTATCATTCACGGCGTCTTCTGAGGGGTTCAAGGGGCGAGGGGAAAGGCATCAGTACTGGGGAAATAGAGATGTTAAATTATTTTTATTCATTTACCTAATCTCTGATCTTCAGATCAACCTCTTTTTAAAAAAAAAAAAAAATTCATCGTTTTAATTTTTAAGAAATTTTTAATCAGAGACCTGGGAGATGAACTCTAGCTCATCTTATGAAGCAGGTATTAAAATTTCTCATACACATAGCACAGATATTAAAAACAAAACCAAAATGCAACAAATTTCTCTGGCCAAAAGGATTATGAATCCTTTTGAGATGTTAATCTTAACTTTTCAGCAAACTACGTTCTTTTCTCTATATGAACTATAAGTTTCTTGAAATTTGAAGCAAGAAAAATTTTATTTGCACACCCTATAGCAAGATTATTACACTCATCTTGACAAGGTACCTTCCAGGGAGGTATGTAGAAGTAGTCTTCTCTTAAATAGAGCAGAAAAGTGGAAAAAATAAAACTTTCTCTCTATAATTCTAGACTTTCATTTAAAGTGCCCTGTGGCAGATAGTGCCCTGCGTGTCAGGGTTGCTTGAGATTTGTGTAGAGTATACTAAATTTTAGTTGAAGGCTTGCTATGTAAACTATAACCACAAGCTGTTGCAAAACTTTGCTTTATTAAATAATCATGAACCCTGACACTATAGGAGGTATTAAATGGATCTACTCTCACCGAGAAACCCATTGGTAGCACCCGTGAAATAATTTTAAATTAATAGGAAATTAGCTACTCTAGCATTTGAACAAAACTTTCTAAACACAGGGAAATGTAATCCTAAGTGCTGTGTTTTATGAGATGCATGGTTATATCAAAATTCTAAGTCAATTAAAATTTAATTCAACATTGAGACTAGTTGATAATTTACCTTGAGTGATTTTAAGTATTTGGAATTGTTCTGATCTCCCTATTAAAGCTAATTTTAAAAATACTTTAAAAGTTCATTAATGGAAGAGGTACACTTTTATATGCACTAAACAATTATGGTGTTTAAAAAATGTTTTATTTTTAGAACATAAAAATATAAACTGATATCTAAAGCATCCAATAAGGAATAATCCAGCTTCTCACGTGCCATCAATTACAGGGTGGTAAGTATCTTCGATCACGTGTGAGATGGTAACCCACAAAGTTACCTCGTTTTTTAGCATAATCATTATCGCCTTCCCATGTGCAAAGGGAGTGTGGTTTTCATTTCTCTTAATAAATTGCTTGAGAAATTTCAGCAAGTTAAAATAGATTAGTTGCATTTCTCTGTGTAACTTAAATCTATGACACATTCAAAAATCCCAGTATCCTAGTATTTTAAATAAGGAAAATACAGATGAAGATTTATAAAGTTCTGTTAGCAAGACAGCCTCAATCTTTGCTGTCTCATTGTACGCCTATGCATATGCACTTAGATTCTTTTTGAAGTATACTGTCCCATTAAACAAAACTTAATCTAGCTCCAGTATTTATTCGCTGTATTAATAACCTGATACTAGTGTGCATCTTTATTTTATGAGGCTGAGTTAGCCGGTCTTCTGCTTAGACTACCTTTGTTTAGTTAGAGAAAATCTCGAAGTAAAAGAATCAAAGTGTGTCTCAAAAAGGTATAATTCAGGGCAGCACCTGTGGCTCAAAGGAGTAAGGTGCTGGTCCCATGTGCCAGAGGTGGTGGGTTCAAACCCAGTTTCAGCCTCCTCCCCCCCGCAAAAAAAAGGTGTAATTTATTCAAGATACCAGCTATAAAATTCTTTCAATACAATATTAGGCAGTGATTGAGGTCCTTATGTTAGAACAAGGAAATGTGCAATTATGAAGAAACGTAGTTTTGAAAAAGCTAAATTAAACTTTTTTTCTGTCATCTCCTAAGAATGTTAATATTCGCTATAATTTCTTGCCTTTTGAATCTTTTTACTTTGAAGTATAGGAAAAACATTTGTTTAAATTTATCTGGACCACGGAGGAACAGTATGAGAGTGCCCATCTCTGAGCTAGGAACTGCATTTACTCACTTAAAAAAAAAA